AAGGGCACCTCGGCAGAGCACAGGAGGTGAAACTGGCACCTCTCCAGCTACCAGTCCACACTCCATATTGAGGTCTGTGGGACTTAAATTATTTATTATTATATTATATTGAATATATTAAATATAATATTATAATATGAACTATAATGTTATAATATTATATTTAATATTATTAAGTATTGATCAGATAATACAATATAATAATTGATAACGCTGTGTTATCTGGATAATTTATTCATTATAAATTTCTTTTATCAGCAGTTTTGAGTAAATTAAATTTAAGTGTTAACATTTGTATATTTTTAGTTACTTTATTTCAATAAATTCTGTGAACTCATTTTTGGTGAAAAGTTACATTTGAGTGAAATTAACTTAATTTACTAAGTTACCATAGCGACAAATACTCAAATCAAAAGTTAATCGGTCAACCTGTACACTCTCAGACAATTATACATTAAACAACAATAAATTGTATGAAACCAGTCAGCTAACCACTAAAACAGTGAGTAAACCAGCTAGTAAACCAGGCAGTAAATACCAGCCAACTAGTAAAGACTGGTTCAGTGATACAGTGTCAATATAAACCATCAACCAGTAGGTAAACCAGTCAGTACACCAGTTTATAGACAAAATCAATAGAAAAACTATATTTAAACGAGTCAACCAGTTATTGGTCAGTAAACCAGCCAGTCAATACAACAAGTCAATAATAGTGGAAACAGTCAGTAAACCAGGCAGAATGAGATGACTAAACAGGTTAATCAGTCAATAAAACAATAAACCAGTCAACCAATCACAAAGTAAACAGTCAGTAAATCAGTGAAAAGGCCAGTTAGCAGTAAGACTACCAAAGAAAAAGTCAGTAAATCAGACAACCAGTTTCTGGTCAGTTATTTTACACTTCAGTCAACAATATGTGAGCAGTGAACCTGCTATTGGTCAGTCAGTAAACCAGTCAGTCAGTTAGTGAACCAGTCAGTCAGTAAAGTAGTAAAGCGGAAAGAAAATAACAAACTCGTAGTCTGAGTGAACGGCTGGTCAATCAGTCAGTAAACCAAATGAATTCAGACAGTAAAGCAGTTAGCTCTCTTACTGACTGTTTGTTCAGCAGACGTCTCTCAGGAGAAATATTCAGAGTTTATTCCCTGGAAGCAGCAGGCGGTAAGCTGATGATGCTGAGCTGGTGTCGATCGCCCAGCGAGAGAGAGTCAGCCCTTTAAATAAGCTCTCTCTCTCTCTCTCACACACAACACACACACACACACACACCTTACAGTTGTGACATCAGAGGAGGAGGTGGGAGGGGCTTCACACATAGGTCAACCTGAGAGAGAGACAGACAGAGAGAGAGAGACAGAGAGAGAGAGAGAGACAGAGAGAGAGAGAGAGAGAGAGAGAGAGAGAGGAGGGTAATATGAGGAGATACAATGAGAGAGAGAGAGAAGGGAGGAGGAGAGAAATCTGGAAAGAGAGATAAAGACAGAGGGATAAAGGCTGATAAGGCTGCACTGGCCCGCGGGTTACAGTGGAGAGTAAGAGAGGAGAAGAAGTGAGAGAGTGACTG